TAAACTAATATCGGTAGAAATTAATTGAAGACTGAACAATATTATTTACATATGTAATTTATACCCATCATCAGTATTCAATATTTTTTATTAGTCAAACATACATGCATATATCCTTCAAACTGAAACTGAAGCTGAATTTTTTAACAAATTTCATTTCATCATTATTGCAATTATTAACAAAATTTGAAGTTAATAGGGTCATCTATTAAAGAATATGGATTTTGACTAAAAAATTTATTAAATAAAATATACATACATATGTATTTTACATGACGACTTTGATTTTTTTAACAATATTGACCATGAAATTACGGGACTTTATTTACATCAATAATCTTGTGATTTAAACAAAGTCCCGCAAGCAGAGTGACAAAAAAATTTAACAAAACAAATTTCTAATTGTTGTTCGCATTGCAGTGAAATTTAATAAAAATAACTGCATAACACAAAAAATGCGTGTGCAATATTTTCCTTAAATTTGTTTATACACGCCAACAAAAGAAATAGTTACTACAAATTTAACAAATTTTTGCTAGTAACAAAAAAATAATCAATACTAAATTGTTCTTATATTCTTCATTTTATTTATTCTACTCTAAATGATTTTGTATGAAAGAGTATGTGAGGCAATATTTCTGAAAATGATGCATGGCTTTGTTTTTGTATATTTTTCCTAAAATATTTCCTAAAATATTTTTCTGAAATATTCATATATACATATGGTATGTACATACATATATGAATCACAAAAATCACGTTTGACTGATTTGTTTAGAAAAATGAATAAGGATAATAATGGTTTAATACCACGTGCCGAATTCATATATGGAATAATAAGTACGATTATTTATATAATGTAGAATAACTAAATAATGTAGAATACCTATTATTTATTTTTTAAAGAATTTGACACTTCTCGAATGGAAATGGGTGCAGTGGCAGATCTTTTTGATCGTAATGGTGGAGACCCCATTGGCAAGAACGCAAACCAGCAACTGATTCAGATAAAATACATGATGAAGTTAAACGCCTTGTTATCCTTTGCACATGTCGACAAAAATTTCGCGTATTTCAAGTTGGCAAAGGGAAATATAGGGTTCGTAAAATACTAATTATCGGATCTTAAAGCTTAATACTCCATCTTCTATTTAAAACAATATTATTTTTGTATAAAACAGTTTGGCGACTCGACTCTCAAAAATTACGAATATTGCGAATATTGCGTAGCACAGTTATGGTTCGTGTAGGTGGCGGCTGGCTTGCACTTGATGAGTTCTTATAAAAAAATTTTCCTTGTCGCGGTAAGTAAATAGTTAAGAATTTTGTACTTTCTCATATTGAATAAACATAATTAAAATATTCATATGCTTATAATTAAAACATTTCTTTAGCGTAATATAACATTATTATTACATTTACATAACAAGCATAACATGCTTTCATAGTAAAATTGTACATTGTTCATTTCATAAATCATTTTAGCTGGTTTTAATGACTCGAGTGTTTTATTACAACTCTGCTCTACATAATCTATTTAATCATCCATACGTCAGTGAAAATACATATATATATTAAAACGGAAATGGTCATTTAACAAATAAATAAATTTTTTATTTTAATAAACTGCCAGAAAACAATCAATAAATTTGAAATTAAAATTTTTTTTGAGTTCATGTATAACAAGTTTTGAAAATGCATTTTCTGCTATTTAATAAATGACTTATTTTGCATATAACTTAATAGAAACGTGTAATCTAACAGCTTTTAGTTTTTAGTACCTTTACCATTTTTTATTATCTATGAATACATACATATATAATTTACGTTTTATTTTATTCTTTAATATGAACATATAAGTAATATAATTCTTTGGCGACCACATACATACATATACATTTTCATTTTATTAAAATAGTAGCATATATTATTATGAATTTACATTGCACTTACTTGTATGCTTCTACTGTTAATAATCGTATGAACTTCACGATATACATATGTATATTTAAAGACAAAAAAGATACATATGTATTTCTTCTTGAATTAACTTACGCAACATAAAGCAGTCGTTCCTTTTTATAAATATTTAATGTTGAGCTAGAATATTAAGTTAAGAATGGATGGTGTTTTTTGTTATTACTTTGTCAGTCCTAGTGCACAAAGGCAGTGACAACACATAAAATACATCTACAGATAACAGTAAAACATAATCTCAATAAAATATAAATGATCTAACCGTAATGTAACCAATTTATAACTTGGTTCGGGAATTTAAAACATTACAGTTGCAAATACATATGTAGGTACATATGTTGATTAATTTAAAACTTAAGGTTCGTAGCCAAAAAGCATATAAAAGGTAATTTTGTCGGAAAGCAGAAAACATTTACAATCTCACATTTACATACATATGTATCTCAATTGTTCCCTGTACTGTTGTACTGTTGTACTGTTGTACTTACTTCTTAGATAGTTAAATGCCTAGTTTGAGCATCTACCTCATTGAGTTACACTTATACCTCAATTTCAATAAAATAAAAAAATTCTGATTTTATTTAAAATTAAAATTTTTTTTCCATCAGTTAGGTTGTATACTTAGGACACTATTATCTTTTACAGCATATATAATATTAGTTTTAAGTGTCAAATGTTTCTAACAGAGTTCCAATATTTTGTGATTTGTGTGTACATAGAGTATTTCGGGGACTGCCTACCTATTTAATCCTTTTAATTAATTTTTATGCTGTCTCTATATCAAACAAAGTAGCCATCTATGCTTTTGAGATGATTATTACAATAGATTAGTCAATATAGTAATAGTATACAAGAAAATCTTTGAACGCATTAATTGTATTTAAATATTTTCTGAAGTAAAAAAAAAATAAAAATTCTGTTTCAATATCAATACTTAAATAAAAACTTAAGTATCTATGTTGGTATCTTTGAATATAATTATCCTTGTTATTTTTAAATAAATACAAACACATACATATAAAAATATTTTTTGTTAATAATTTCAATTAAATTTATTTTAGTTTAATTAGGTTTTTACAAAATTACTGCCTAGTAATTTGGTATTAGTAATTTACAATATTTATAATGGTATAAAAATTATTAAAAATAAAAAACAATATAAACAAAAAATTAATTAGTATATCCTAAAAGTAAGTTAATAAAAAGTTATAATAATGACTATTAGTACATAAATTTTACTATATATTATTTCGTGTGTAATTGATATACATTTTTAAAGAAATTCATTTGCGTAATATTTTTATTATTATTGTTTATTATTTATATATGAAGTTGCATTTCAAATTAAACTGGCGATTTCAAAACTTCATACAACAACATAAGGTTCGATTCGAATTTTTTTTGTTAATTAAATACAATGATAACAGAAACACTTATATTTCATTTAATTATAAATGTATATAATATTTACAGAATGTTAGGACGTTACTTGAATAAAGATTATTGAATTTCGATTTTCGTATTTTATACAGTTCAAGACTCGTATTTCTGACTATATTTTTGTAAATATATGAAGCTTTCTCTTCAAAATACATACATATATTTTTAAAATTTAAAATAAAAATAACTGCTTATTCTTGTTTATTTTATATTACTGCAAAACTGTAGATTTGTTATTGCATGTTAAAGTATGTATTTGTGCGATTCCAATTTGATGTTCTCTGGGACTCGTTTAAGGGGTATTATTCAAACATTTGAAATATACTCTAAAGTCTGAATGGTTCACGTTTTTCGACTGGTGTAGTACCACGAGAAGTTCTGCGCATCGTTGAACTAAATGTTGGCTCAGGTGAACTCTTTCTTGGGATTTGCATGCCTGATGGTGTTGAACTGCCACTTATATTTCGCCTGTAGGATCAAATGTTCAATATGTATTATTTTTTGAATTCAGTAAAAATAAAACTGTCAACATTGTAGTAAGTAAATAACGTAAAGTAATAAAAATAAAGTAATTTCGTTTAAAATACAATATGTAATTTCGGTTTTTTTTCACCCTTTACTTTTTTGTTATTAAGAACTTGAAATTCCTGTAATGTCCATAAAAAGAGAGCTTATAATTGTGAAGTATTCATTATATAACGATTATATCCCTCACTGCAAGAGATAATCGTAAGTAACGGATATTATCATAAAAAAAGGCAAGCAGGAAAATTGTTTAGCAAATAATTATCATGCATAAATATTTAGTATTATTAAAATTATTTTTTATTCGTTTTAAAACTAAGCTCTAAATTTCATATTTAATTTGAGAATAACAAGTAAATAATTAAAAAAAAATATTATAAGCTTCACTCATAAATAAAT